ATGCTATGGTATGAGAACATATATGCAACGGTATGAGAAGGTATATGCTATGGTATGAGAGCATATATGCTACGGTGTGAGAACTTATATGCTACAGTATGAGAACATATATGCTATGGTATGAGAACATATATGCTACGGTATGAGAACATATATATGCTACGGTATGAGAACATATATGCTACGGTATGAGAACATATATGCTACGGTATGAGAACATATATGCTACGGTGTGAGAACATATATGCTACGGTATGAGAACGTATATGCTACGGTATGAGAATGTATATACTACAGTGTGAGAACATATATGTTACAGTATGAGAACATATATGCTAAGGTATAATATTGTTTCTGTTTCAGTAGACTACATATTAAATGCACGAGTTTGTGATGGACTAGTCAGGAACTGTTTTTGGTTCATGGTATTCTGATGAACCCATAATAATGAAATTATGATGCACGTGATTTACAATCTTTGATTTTACTCGAACCTTTTTATCTGATTGGAAATGTAATAACGCGTTATGATTATTACGGCGGTGGGTAATAGACGAAGACAGTAGGACAGTCTAATCAACCTACCTGTAGCTTAGTGGAGTTCGATTCGACTGCGTAACATTCAAGTGCATACTGCAGTAAAAGGTGAAACAAATAGTTGAACGTTTTTGCCAGGCGTTATTTATCTGTTCTTGCGAACGCTTTTTATTATAATGAGACATGGCATAACAATTAATCTACATCTTGTTATTTCAATAGCAATCGAACTCACTGAATCTTGCAATGAGAGAAGCAGGAATGACTGTGATTTCCGATACTTTTGAAGAAAATCCGAAAGCAGGGTTACAGTACTTGAAGGTAAATCAAATTTACAAATTCGAGTAACAATTTTTTCAATGCTGTAATCAATAACTGTATGATTGATTACCATTGAAGAGAGCTGGTGAATTCAGTTTGGTTTCATGCCATACTCCGCCCCTGTATCATGGAGACAACCACAATTGTCGCCTTGTTGTTGACATTCCAGGAATATGGGAATGGAGGAAAACACAACTGAATTAATTTTGGTGAACGCATGAGTTGAACTTTATATTTGAGTTGTGTATTTATTTTACTTGTATAAAATAAGATTTTAATATTTCGCGATTTCAAATTCAGAAACAAATATATTCATAGCATTTTTTGGTTTTTGTGTCAGAACGAAGATGTACGAATTATTATTGGAACGTTCTATCCTCTAGCGGCCACCAAGGTATATTGTGAGGTAAGTGTGAATATGGTAGGTGTATGGTATTTTCATAAACGTGCTCACTAATGCTTTAGGTGTAATATAATAAATGTTACAAAATACACAAACAATTTATTACGTGCACTATCATACACTCACGCATAGAGATGTGTAATAATAATAATAATAATAATAATAATAATAATAATAATAATAATAATAATAATAATAATAATAATAACTCAACAGCTATTTAACATTCTACCAAACTGCTATTGCTGCAAATGATTGATCGATCGATATGTTTATATGCTACACTACTGGTTCAAAGATCGCATAATCACGCATTAGTTTTCATGGCTCGATTGATGCACGAAGAACAACTATATGATTTGTTCTAGGCTTATAAAGCTTGGAATGTATGGAGCAAAGTACGCCTGGTTTGGTACAGGATGGTACGGACCAGACTTGATATATGGTGCAATGAGCGGCACGTCTATTGATTGCACACCTGAGCAAATTGGTGAAGTAATAGAGGTAAGATTTGTTATATATATATATATATATATATATATATATATATATATATATATATATATATATATATATATATATATATATATGATTTGTTATTTGTCTTCTAATACCGTAATGGGGGTCTTTTTGAGCATGCAACGGCATAATGGACTCTAGGTTACAAAACAATAATAGACACAATTAAGGTAGAGGTGCAGTTTACCTGACAGGTATTTTAATAAGTTAATTAGGAAACCAAGATGACCTCCCTTGTCCACAAAACTATATATTTTCGGAAAGCTTATTGTATGAATTTTAAAATTCCGTTAGTATTTTTTTATTGACACTGTAGTTTGAAATATGCACAAAAATGTGCTTTTTTGATCAAAATTGATTAAAAAAAATAGCTTCTAAACCATGTTTCTGTTTCCTGTCAAAATTAGTTTATGGGTACATATGTTTACTATGAAGAAAGTGTCGTCTTGAAAACTGTCTACCAGTTGTCAATTTTGCAGGGCAGCAACTCAAATTTCACTACTTCAAGTTTGTGCATAAATTAACACCCAGGCTAGTTTTCTGTACGATTGCTGTAACACTGTTCAACCAAAAACAATGCCCCGACGGCGTTTTGAAAATAAACACATTGTCAATCATATGTGAAAATTTCAAAATAAAAGGTCAAAGCATGTGCACTAAAAAGAAGCTGAGATAATTGCTAATTTGCATGACAATTCACTCTGTAAGATGTTTGCTAACGCTCATAATTAAAATGGCTGTAACAGTTCCAAATTCAAATGTATTATCGTTTTGTTAAAAGTTAAATACATGTATAGTGCATAATATGGAGATCCCGTCATTTCTTTTTTCACCATGTTTCTTTTTTATTATTTATGTACAGCCTTGATAAATCTTGCTAAGCATTCAAATGAGATAATGTTTGCAGCTGTTATCTATATTTCAAAATCGTTTTTTGAGTTTGTCCCACTATTCACAATTCTACAAAATTTTAACAGTCTATAGCCAAGACTGTTTGGATAATAACAAGCAAACAAAAAGTTTCACTCCCAAGTGCCCACAAACCTGCATCTCTACCTTAAGCAAATCAGGGTCCATGTTACGCTTCTATCAATAATTGAGCAATAATTATAACGAAAAATGAATGATTGAATGAATGAATGTAATATGAGCAATGTTCAGCAAAGAACATATTCAATGTAAACCAATATTATTATACCTAACATTGTGTTTCATAGGGTTTGTTTGTTGTGAGTGACTACGAGTTGAATCCAGACACGGAAAATGTTGGCATTTCTAATTTGGTGAGTGCAAATATTTCTGTTATTAATACCTTATGAATGACAACATCAACAGTAGAAGTACTATAAAATGCGTTTAAGATCAGCAACGTTAAGGTACTTTCGCAAGGCTGACAAGGGATCGTGATATTGCATATCACATATTATAGGAATTGTAGTACAATTTACATGCCGTTTGCTTTAATTTCCGACCTACAATCCATTGCAGACTCCACATGAATACATAACACTGTACGATGAATATGTCAACTATACGGGTGATAGTTTAGTTGGATATGCCAACTCACCCTACTCTTATGACACGGTCTGGGCAATAGCATTGGCTTTAAATACTACTATGAATGACTTGAAGCGTTCCGGTGGTGAGTAACGTATTTAAAACACAAAAATTCAATGACAATTTTTTGTTGTGTTGGACATGTTTATGATCCCATATAACCTAAATATTTCTAACGGAACTATACAATTGTCAACTATATAGTTTAACGAAATGATATTTACAACCAAATTGTCTTCAACTTGTATGACGGACTAATTAATGGACTAATGTTCACTAATTAAACACCTTTGAATATTGCAGTTGATACATTATATTGTAAACGAAGGCAATGAATCTCATGAGAGAACAACGATCTCTATAATAGTCTTCTATATATGTTTGCTAGTTTAGTAACAATATTACTATATTCGGCTTTGAGTTTCAGTCATGTTATTATTGTTATTAACATTAATCATATCGTATTTTCCACATTTTGTCATGCAGGAAATAAACGATTAGAGGATTTTACTTATGATGACAGCGAACTTG